GGAGAGAAGGCACATCTTGAAGACCCCATACTTCATGGATTTTATTAACAGCTGCTAAGTCACTTCAGTCGTATCTGACTCTGTGCAACCCCATAGACGGCAGCCCACCAGGCTCCTCTGTCCCTGGGATTTTCCAGGCAAGAATACTGAAGTGGGTTGCCATTTCCTTCTCCAATGCATGCATGCATGCTAAGTCGCTTCAGTCATGTCAGACTCTGCGACATCAAGGACAGCATCCCACCAGGTTTGCTGTCCACGGAAGTCTCCAGGCAAGAATATTAACAGCATATAGTAACAATAGTTAATATTTAATGAGGGCCTACTACATATCAGCCACTAATTCCAGAAATTAACTCATGTAATCCTCATAATTAAATTGCCAACATCCGCTGGGTCATCAAAAAAGCAAGAGAGTTCCAAAAAAACATCTATTTCTGCTTTATTGACTATGCCAAAGCCTTTGACTGTGTGGATCACAGTAAACTGTGGAAAACTCTGAATGAGATGGGAATACCAGACCACCTGACCTGCCTCTTGAGAAACCTGTATGCAGATCAGGAAGCAACAGTTAGAACTGGACATGGAACAACAGACTGGTTCCAAATAGGAAAAGGAGGACGTCAAGGCTGTATATTGTCACCCTGCTTATTTAACTTATATGCAGAGTACATCATGAGAAACACTGGGCTGGAAGAAGCAAAAGCTGGAATCAAGATTGTCAGAAGAAATATGAATAATCTCAGACATGCAGATAACACCACCATTACAGCAGAAAGTGAAGAAGAACTAAAGAGTCTCTTGATGAAAGTGAAAGAGGAGAGTGAAAAAGTTGGCTTAAAGCTCAACATTCAGAAAACTAAGACCATGGCATCTGGTCCCATCACCTCATGGGAAATAGATGGGGAGACAGTGCAAACAGTGTCAGACTTTGTTTTTCTGGGCTCCAAAATCACTGGCTGCAGTGACTGCAGTCATGAAATTAAAAGACGCTTACTCCTTGGAAGGAAAGTTATGACCAACCTAGACAGCATATTAAAAAGCAGAGACAGAAAACTAAGATCATGGCATCTGGTCCCATCACTTCATGGGAAATAGATGGGGAAACAGTGGAAACAGTGGCTGACTTTATTCTTCTGGGATCCAAAATCACTGGCTGCAGTGACTGCAGCCATGAAATTAAAAGATGCTTACTCCTTGGAAGGAAAGTTATGACCAACCTAGACAGCATATTAAAAAGCAGAGACACCACTTTGCCAACAAAGGTCCATCTAGTCAAGGCTATGGTTTTTCCAGTAGTCATGTGTGAATGTGAGAGTTGGGCTATAAAGAAAGCTGAGCACCGAAAAATTGATGCTTTTGAACTGTGGTGTTGGAGAAGACTCTTGAGAGTTCCTTGGACTGCAAGGAGATCCAACCAGTCCAACCTAAAGGAGATCAGTCCTGAGTGTTCATTGGAAGGACTGATGTTGAAGCTGAAACTCCAATATTTTGGCCACCTGCTGCAAAGAGCTGATTCATTGGAAAAGACTCTGATGGTGGGAAAGATTGAGGGCAGGAGGAGAAGGGGACGACAGAGGATGAGATGGTTGGACGGCATCACCGACTCGATGGACATGGATTTGGGTGGACTCTGGGAGTTGCTGATGGACAGGGAGGCCTGGCGTGCTGCAGTTCATGGGGTCAAAAAGAGTTGGACACGACTGAACTGAACTGAACCCTCATAATATACATATGAAGTAGGTACTACTGTATCGAGTTTTACAGAAGGACAAGCTGCGTTTTACAAATGCTTACTGTCTGTTGTCATACATTTAACAAGCAGTAGAGCCAGAATTCTAATCAAGTGGCCTAATTCCAGAGGCCCTCTCAACCAGCAACTAGGGGAACAGAAATACAAATACGAGACAATTGGTACGTGAGCTCTGGTATCTTTTTGGTCACTAATTCTCATATTTTATTAAAGTAAAGTAAGTTTCAGAGAGATTAAGTAACTACTCAAATCCATGAAACCAGCCAGAGGAAAAGCTAATATTCCATATGCTACATCACAGCACCCCTCCACAGCTTAAAGACTAAGTGACAGAAACAGAAGCAGAAATCTCACCTCAATTTGCTTATCAGTGTTTTTGTAAGACAGTGATCAAGGAAATCTATCTGGAAGAGATGCTGGTAGGACCCAAAGGAAAACAATAGATAAGAATAAAATCAGCAAAACCAAGGGAGAAAGGATCTAAAACATTAGAGCACTGTAGTGTTGGGTGGGCGGGGTGTATGTGTGTTGTGTGTAAACTGTTTCATTCTGTTTTCAACTATTCCTTTTATTTTCTTGATGAAAACGTGAGTAGTTCTCAACTAGGAACAGTATCTCATCAAAGACTGTCTGGCAATAGTGAGGGCAGTTGATTCTCTTCATGATTGGGCAATTCTAGTTGCATTGAACGGGCACAGGCTAGAGATGCTAAACATCCTGCAATATAATGTCAGCACAACAAAGCACTAACTCACCAAAAATGCCAATACTGCTCCTCCAGCAATAAAAAGTACTTAAAAGAAACCATTCCAGTATCACTAAGAGAAAAATACACCATCCAGGTGGACTTACCAATTGTGCACCAACTGGACAGAGGAATAAATAGGGACCATTATAGACAGGTTCCTAACAAAGTATGCTTCTGTTTGAGAAACGCTTTAGAAAAAGTATTTTCCCATCCTGTGTCTTATATGTATGTAGACATAAAATTTTGCTATTAATAGAGAAAATATGTAAGACCTAAATTTTGAGTGAAGACTCAAAATAATCTCTGTCTAAATACCTTCACAGTTTAGTCCAAAAGCAGACTTCTTACTTATAAAGTAGTTTCTACTGTGAACAGTGTAAAAGTGGCTAAACATTAATCAAAAAAATTTGATTCCATAAAAATTTGAATCAATAAAACCACAAAATTGGCATGTTTAAGAAACAGCAAAAAGATGAGTGTGATTCGACTGGAATGAGCATGAATGAATGAGTGACTGGTAGGCTGATGTTAGAAAGGCAGGCAGAGGCCAAAATGTGTAGGGCATATTGTGAGTCTTAATAAGGAGTGTGGACTTAAGCTTATTGTGATGGAACTCGAGAACTTTAAGCAAGAAATAAATGATCTGATTTATTTTTAAACCACTAGTTAGGGGAGTAAGAAAAGAAAACTGAGAACTAGGATACCATTCTACTTGGAAATTCGGGCTGTGATGAGACAAACGCATATGTAGCAACACCTTTGTTAAACTGCCTCATTTAGGGGAGATGCTGGTTTAAAAAGTTAACCAATTTTATTTTGAAATTACACAGGTCCAAAACATCCCTGCACAAACTTCTGCCACTCTTTTTCAGATAGGCCAAGTGATCTCTTAACATAATTTAAAGAAAAAGCATTTTACCACCTACAGACTCTTCAAAGTTAAAATTAGTCCATTATTTTCAATGCTGACACACCTAGAAACAAGTCTGCAATAATACTAAATTTGTTGTGGTCTCTGCTGACTTCAGCTAACTGAATAAATATATACGGAAAAATTAAATCCCCAAATTGTTCACACTAGAATGCAAGAGAATATTTTAAAATAGCTCCTATTTCTAATATATGGCAACCCACTCCAGTATTCTTGCCTGGAGAATCTCATGGACAGAGCAGCCTGGTAGTCTACAGTCCACGGGGTCGCAAAGAGTCGGACACGACTGAGCGACTTCACTTCACTTCACTTCAGAAAAGTACCAAACTAGAAGGGGCTCAAGGCAAATAAGTCAAAGACAGAATTTGTTAAAATAGTCAAGTTTTTTAAAAAAATAATCAAGTTTAGAGAAGCAATGCTGACTTTATTGTGTAATTATCAACAGACTTCCAATTCGCAACACACGTTGCTTTGGTTTATTTGACACTGCTTTGTCTCTCATGGAATCCAGATGGCACATTTATTTATTCAAATAATTGTTATCAAACAACATTTCTGAGCACCTGCTGTGTGTGTGTTAGAAGCTAGCAACATAAAGCTTTGCTGTCAGTCCAGAGATTATAGTAAAGTGTAAGAAAAAAGATGACCAATAGTAAAAAAAAATCACATGCCAATTACAGGCACTGAACTGTAATATACCTTCTGTGTCTGAGAGACTGAATCAGAGGGACTAAGCCACATCATTAATAACTGATAATTTCCTGGGTGCCAAATAAATTTTCTAGTCAGTAAATCAGAGTTCAGAAGACTGGGTGACTAGAAAGGTTCAGTAAGGATTTCACAGGTTGGACTGCAAGAAAGCCTTTCAGGAAGACTTTCTTATGCAAATAACTTATATGCAAATAATTTACCCTTATGACTTAAAAGTAATACTTTACAACTTCCCCTATTTGGGGATATTTAGGGTGGGTATCACAAACACATGAGTGAGAAGTCTCTAAAGGGTACCATACAGTGCACTCCTGAATGGGGAAACTCAGAACTCTAGAACCTGAATCCGAGATCTTAAGAATGTTTTAACTTGTTTTTCCTTAAACTCCCTGTTTTTCCCTACAAACGTATTAAATACTTTCCAAAACGTCTTATTAATCATATTTTCCCCCACTGCTTAAAAAGAATTAACAAATGTCATAAGACATTTAAAAGATGGTGTCAAAGGATTCCCTCCTTCAAAAATGTTAGAAGCCGCTAGTTTAAATGTATCTGAAAGATATGGCTTTGTTCCATCTCAATGCAGACTGAGGTGCATGCATTTCAGTCAAAGGACAAAAATTCTTATGTGTCTTGAAACCTTGAACAGCATTAAAAAATAAAAGAAAAACACTTGCTGTCATTTTTTGACCTTTTTTTTTTTTTTTCAGTGAGCTTCCGTACAAATACACTACACCACTTTACCAGAAACAGGCTTGGCCACGTGAGGAAACCCGGGAGCTCGCTCCTCCTCGCCACGGGTACAGCGGGACCGTCATTCCGCAGCCAGTTACATGGAAGCGCGCCGGAGAATCCTGGGAGTAGTGGGCACCGGGGATTGTGGGAAATGTAGTTTGGAGAGCTCCGCCCTGGTCACCATTTCTGTAATGGCTGCTTCCTTGAAGGTAATGTACGAGCTTGTCTCCGAAGGCACCTTAGCTTGCCCAGTATATTTGTCAAACGGCGCAAATTTGCACTTTGCCGGGCCAAAGCAAGGATTGTTTTTAAAGTCTTACTTTCAAGTCCTTGGACGAACTTGGTTTTCGGTTGACTTTTTTTTTTTTTTTAGCTTTTTCTTTATAGACGAACTAACCAACTTTCAAATCTAGTTCCCGTTTGAACAAACTGTTTGTCTTTAGTTATTACCCATTCTTCTCCCTTCCGTACAACCTCCCCGCTCTTCACTGACTGTAGATGCCTCTTTAAAATAATAATAATTAATAATGTGTAATTTTTAAATCCTGCTACGCCCCTCTGATAGTAGGTGCTGTCACGTGGAATTTCTTAGCCTCAGCATCCGGAGCTGCTGGAAGGGAGTCAGATAGAATTAAGTACCGCCTTATTTGGTAAGTGTTACTATTACCCCACGACTTCACAGCTATATGTTGTTTGACTTTGCTAGATTTGTCTGCATTTCCTGAACGGGAGAGATCCTAAGAAAATGTAATTTTCACTTACTAGGGCAATTTCCAAGTTAGTGTCTTGTGCATCATCATCTATCTTTCTTATGTGCTACTGTTCAAATTCTGTTTTGTTGATACAGTATTGGCGTTATACAGTGTGGAAAAATCGCTGGAGTCAGGAAATTATCATGAGAAAGGGAGATTAGCCTCAAATGACCATCTTTAATTACCGTTTACTTCCCAAAGGTTCTTTCACCATAAAATGAGTCTGAATATAATTTATAGTCCCTAATTGATAAGGTTGCATGAATTGTTACTTATCATGTATTCATATTGTCATTTGAAAAGGTTGGAATTTTTAATGATTCCTTTTTTCCCTGTTTTAATTTATAGAAATCTTCATCCTTCAAGAACCAGCCACATCATGATCTCAGTTTCAACACAGTTGTTTCTAGTCCTGTTTTCATTGCTCTTGGTGCTGCCTGTTGTTGAAGCAGTAGAAGCCGGAGATGCAATTGCTCTCTTGTTAGGTGTGATTCTCAGCATTACAGGCATTTGTGCTTGTCTGGGGGTGTATGCACGAAAAAGAAATGGACAGATGTGACTTTGAAGGGCCTCCTGAATCAAACCTTCCCCTGAAAACCTTTGTGCTATTGAGTTTCAGAACTGAGCTTTGGTGTCTGAAAGTTCCCCAGAAACAGTTAATAGAGAAGTTTCATATTATTGGTTGTTTGCCTATAAAAAGGAACAAATTGATATACTGTGTTAAAGGGAAAACAACATGTTTTTGTCACAACAGATAATGCACTGGAAAATGCCATCTGTAATTTGCATTTGCTGAAATTTGCTTAAGTAATATTTCATAGTTTCAGAATTCTCAGTAGGAAGAAGGAAACTCTTGCCCAGAATCCTAGGAAATTGCCACTGTTCAGTTATAATCACTGCCTCCTGCATCATTGAGGAATTTTTTCTCCATATTTTTATTGGATTTTTGTTTTGTTATCTCCCAAGTTAGTACTGTACCTAGACATTAAATACAGTTGGTCAGAAATTAAAACGTATCTGTGTGGGAAAAAGTTCAGAAAATGTATTCAATGTATCTAACATTGAAATGGAGAGAAGATTTAATGTAAAAAAAAAAAAGAAAACTTTATATTGACATTGAAATGGAGAAGAGATTTATTGTTTAACAAAAACAGAAAAATGTTTATATTAACTGAGTTACATCTCCATGGTGAGAAGTACTATGTTAAGTATAAACCTATTATGTAAGTTAATTTGTGGTGTCCATTTCTGTTTATTTCAGACTGTTTTTATCTCTGTGAACTTTTTATAACCTAAGTGGAGGCAAGTAGATGCCTTATGTTAACTGTGACTCCAGCTTTTAGAGATATAATCAGTGAAAAATGAGAAATGGGCAGCATCAAGGTAGGGAAGAGGCCCCTGGTAGAGAATCCACAGATGCAGAAGGCAAATATTATGGCATGTACTGATTTACACAAAAACCACATGAGGCATACTCTCCCCATCCTTCCTACTTAAAAGTGTCCTTGCAGCAGCAGTGTCACTGGAGGACTTGTTAAAGCTGCAGTCTCAGGCGCAGCCCCCTCCATCCCACCCCCAAACAATTGGATCAGAATCTGCTTTTGTTTCAAGAACCCAGGATAACTATACACATTCAAGTTTAAGAAGATTGTTCTAACTTGTTTGAATGCAAGGATCAAACAAGTTGATAAAAACTATTAGTTTCCTAGGTTCCTCTCCTGGTTTCATTGTAGGTTGGGGTATGGAATTCTTTGTTTAACAAGGGTCCACAGTGATTCCTTTGACTGTGTAGATACAGCCAACATTAGAATTGTATGAGTAAATCAAACTGCTATGGGGTCTTAATGAAAGCAGGAAGTCACATTTTTTTCCTAAATAAATGCATTATCCATTCTCTAGCTCTCCAGGTAACATTGGGACCCTTAATTTTGATCAGAAAACAGGCAATAGCAATCTAAATTCCTTGGTATGCATTTCTCCACATATGAGCTGACCTGGCTTGCATGAAGGATTTGGTGGGGGGTACAAAGAATGAGGGACAGCCACACACTAAAGACAGAAACCACATGTATCTGTTTTTGTCATAGCTGTTTTTGTTTGTTTGTTTTCCCACCAAAGAAAACAGTCTTTTATTCTGATAAATTGGCTGTTATACATTGAGTAACAGAAAATTTTTTAAATTTTTATTGGAGTTCAGTTGATTTATAACAGAACTTTTTTGCATGTCTTTTTTTTTTTTTTTTTTTGAAGATGGAAAAAGAAATGCAGATTGTGGGACAGTTTTCCTATCTTATATACCAGCCTGCTGGTACTGAGGTAAAGAGGCTGTTGCTGCACCCTTGTATGTCTGAATTTTTCCATTGTCATTGGAAGAAATCCTACCTAAAGCACAGGAAAGCCTGTTTTTGTCTTCACTGGAGGCTCAGGTGGCACACGACAGTTCATAAAATGGTTTTAAAGGTAGGGGAAACCTAATGCTTGCTTGTGTGCGTGTTCAGTCATATCTGAATCTGCGACCCCATGGACTGTAGCCTGCCAGGCTGGGCTTGCCTGGAGGCTCAGCGGTAAAGAATCAGTCTGCTGGTGGAGGAGACGCAGGTTTGATCCCTGGGTCAGGAAGATCCCCTGGAGAAAGAAATGACCACCCGCTCCAGTATACTTGCCCGGGAAATCCCGTGAACAGAGGAGCCTCGGGGGCTACAGTCCCTGGGGTGGCAAAGAATCGGACATGACTTAGCATTGGACTGGGACGTCAGTCATGCCCTGCTCTGTGACCCCATGCACTGTTGCCCTCCAGGCTCCTCTGTCCATGGGATTCTCCAGACAAGAGTACTAGAGTAGGTTGTCATTTTCTCTTCCAGGGGGATCTTCCCAACCCAGGAACCGAATCCATGTCTCCTGCGTTGGCAAGTGTATTCTTTATCACTGAGCCACCTGGAAAGCCTTAAAATACATTTTAAATCACAGTGCATTGGTTATTTAGTCACCAACAGATAGCATTTCTTTAAATGTTCAAAATAAGATTACAGGCAGACATTCTTTAATGAGCCTGTATTTCTACAAGTGCCTAAAAGGAATTAGAAACTGCCATTTTTCTATTTTCTCCTTAACAATAAAGAATTGTGAGGCAACTTTCAGTATACATTTTTATGTATATGATGAGGAATACCTTCTCTAGTTCTTTTCTATCTAGGTTAGAGTATATCATTTTGCCTGAAAAGAGCAGAAACTCTTAGGGTCACTCTAAAGGTTTTGTGAGCCACCAGCTGTCTTGAGAATCTGATGGTTGTTTGCCTAGAAAAATGCACATACATGCTGGCATCTTTTGATTAATTTCAGGGAGTTCACAGAGCTGAAGTTCATCTAGAAATCCCAAATTACAAAATTTGCTATTTCCTTTTTTTTTCTTTTTAGTTTCTTCATAATTCTGAGATTCTTTCACTTCCTCTGAGGGTAATACCTGCTGTGGAGCAATTATAGGAAGAATGGGATTAGCAAATGTCCCCTGGGTGCCCAGCATAATTTGTAGACATCTAGTAAATGCTCTGTACATATGAGCTCAAGTTAAAAAGAAGACTAATAGCTAAAATCAGCAAGAAATGCTGGTTGCCGACCCATTCATCCAATGTCAAAAATCAGTGCCTCTCCTGTATCATTTCTCTCTGGTGCTTTCAAGATGTCTTTTTCTCCTTTCTTAGTTTTTAAAAGGTGATGTGTATGTCTTGGCATAAATATCTTTGGGTTTATCCTGTTTGAGATTCACTCAACTTGAACCTATAGGTTTGTGTCTTTTCCCCAAATGTAGGTGATTTTTAGCCATTATTTTTTCAAATGCTCTTTCAACCATATCTACTTATTTCCTTCTGGGACTCTGCTTTATAACTGCTAGACAGAGTTAAAAGTCCTAGGGGAACCTCTTTACTGTTCCTTGCTTGTCCTCCGCTGACCCTGCAGGTAGGGTACCTTGTGGCTACTAGGAGGGAGTAGAAGTTCAGACTGCCCACATGGTCTCCTCTGGCCCATGGCCATGTCTAAGCACATTACATTTCTGGGTCATCAGCTTTTCCAGTCCTACTCAGAGATCTAGGAGACAAGAAAATCTAGAGAATTCATACCATATTTTCTGTTCCTAGGGTCACTAGTTAGTCTGCCTTCTTTCTTCCAGATTTTATATGCATTTTATAAATAGTATCTGAGATTTTTAGCTATATTTAGCAGTAGAAATAGGAAAAAAAGAGGCCTACTGCATCTTCCCGGAAGTCCAAGTCTCCTGAGTGCATATTTAAAGAGTGGGGGGATTAAAGTACCAGGTAAACCATCAATTCAAGGAATTTTCACTCAGAGACCTTGGTCCTGTGATCGCTCACATTTACCCTCCTCTTTTCACCCATTGAATATTACTTTTACCCGATAAGCTCAGTCAAGAATGCAGGAGTACAGATAAAGTTTACAAAATGATCTGTATCCATGCTTTCACTCAGCATTGCCAGTGCAAATGGCAACTTTTTGAAAAACTATACCAAATGTACCAACTGTGAAGGAACCAGCCAAGCCTAGGAAATCTCAGTAGCTACGTGTCACATGCATCTTCACCCTCTTAGGCTTTCTAAGCTCTGCAGAAGTTTGTCAAATGCCATGTCCAACTTTTGAGTGTAAGAAAAGTGGTGTAGATATATTAGCCTGTGGCACATAATGAAGGGAGAATACTCTGAATAGGAGAGAATCTCCAAACCAATCTCTCACCAGAGACACATATCAGCCTCTTTGGTGGTATCACAATAGGGATTAAGAGCCCCAAGCTCTGGAATCCAGTAGATCTCAATAGATAGCCAGATTCCATCACTTAAAATGTGATCTTGGACAAGTCAATTTCTTTTAAATTCTGTCTCCCTATCTGTTAAATTGGGGAAAATATTACTTCCCTCATAGATAGGTGAGGAATACATGAAATAAGGACTGTTAAAGACCTGGCATGCTAGATGTTGTTATAATTGATATTTGGAGACAATTTCTAGACACAAGGGGGGAAAAAAACTACTAGCCTCAATTTTGTGCTTATATATAAAGAGGGTGTCTTTGGGAAGTTATAGAAACAGATCCCTTATTAAACAGTTCATTTATATTTTAATTTTGACATTTACTTTGAGTCTGTTTTCTTTATTATAGTTTCTCCCTCATCACTATAAGCTTACAAATTGCTAAAACTCAAAGATATCTATAAAGAAAATTTGGCTTCTTTAAGGTTTCCTCAGGCCATCTTCTCTGTACCTGAGTCTCTTGAGAAAAAGAAAAAGGAAAAAAAAAAAAATGAATCCGTTTTAGTAATTCCTAACGTGCTCAAACATGGGTCTTTTCTAAGTGACATGATGAAAGCTTAGCAACTGCCCAGGTTATTTAAGGAGATGCAAGGAATTTGCCTCTGTCTTTCAGGAAAATAGAAAATCTAGTCCGTGTTCCATTAAGAAACAGGAAAATAGAAGATCTAGTCCATATTCCATCAAGAAAAATATTCTTAACATATCTCATTAGAAGTCATATAAGCACCATAAAATATGTTTAATGCTTGTTTTATATGTGGGGAGTGTGGAAGAAGCTCTTATTTTAACTTAACCCCAAAGAGGATTTTTATTCCTAGGTGAGAATATGCCCAAATCAATAAATATGTGTGCAGAATAGCACATTTAAGATTTTATTTTTCCGAATTTTTAGTAATGTCATTTTTCTGAATTGCTTCTGTGATTAATATACACTTAACATCTAAAAATAAAAGGCAGACCAGAAAAGTATGACTGGTATAAAATGCTAAAGTGTGATTTGTAGTATGAAAGCTACAATACCCTTTTCACACATATTTGCACTGAATCTACTGTATATGGGTGAGTAAAATTTTGGAAATACTGGCACTTAATAATGTGAAATAAAATTATGAAATTTTATATACAAGAGAGTTTATTTTTAAAGGGCTAATCATGAAGTACTTTGTTAAACATTGGGATTATAAATACCATATTTCTCAATGTTAATTAAGATAATTATGTTCTGGATAAATGTATGTAGATCACTTAACAAAAGAATTTAGAAGCCATCATGATGGCAAGACCAGAAACTAAAACATTCCATTGCAGATGATTTGTCAGAACAACTCTTATTTTGTCACAGAAATTACCAGGGCATTGTGATACCTACATAAAACAATTTTATGGGTCCTGTGATGACATGTGCCCACTTTCAC